ATATCCTTTCTGCCATCTTTCTAAAGGAAAACCTTTTCCAACATGAACGGCCCTTCTATTGAACTATAATATACCTCCAGGAAAAAAATAAAAATTAAGAAAACAGAGCAGCAAGATCTCTTCACCTCAGCTGAATCCAAGTGACATAACTGGGAAGAAACGAAGCTGTCATGTGTAAGAATCTTCAGAGAGAAGTTTTTCCCAGTAACTAATTAGAAACTGCAAACATAATGAAATAGGCTGTGATTCCTCCCCCTTCTCCAGACTTTTTACAAAAAAAAGTTTTCTTGGAAAACTATGAGAAAAGTTGCTACTTTTGGTGAATATATACACAATACATTTTTACACTGGGTTTTAGTTCTGACCTGGCACAAGCACCGATATTGAGAACTACATTCAACAAATGCCTACGTGCTATCAGAATCTACATCCAGGTAACTGCTCTGTATTCTCAGGTTTCAGTAGCCAATTCTCTAATTATCTTGATATATCTCATGAACAAGAAACAAAAAGCCAGAAGTTAAGATCTAATGCTTTAATTTGCCTAAATTTCACGTGTTTTCAAGCCCATGCTCAAGCTGAACCTGTAAATTTCAGGGAATTGCCTCATTCACAAGCCATATACCACCTTGGATCCTGATAACAATTTTAAGAGCCACGAAGTCCTGGGCCCTATTCATTCTGTAGCGTTTTCACCAAGAGGTGTCCTTTCCTCTGGATAAAAAGGACCTGTTTCTAGAGTAGATCAAAGATGAGAACGTGCAAACATTGATTGCTTACCCCAGTCAATAGGGAACAAAATCAGAAGTGTTGAAGAAAGCTGTTTTCTCTCTGACAGAGGTCACTTGACTTCCTAGTTGAGTAACTTCTGTCCAGAAGTACAAGCAGATGCTTCGTTGGAAAGAAACAGCTTGTACTGAATGATACCTACCAATACATTGCGCCTGCAAGAGTAGAAACCACTTCCTGAACTCAAAATACTAACATGGAAGGAAAGAAACAGCTCACACAGAGAGACAGAAATGGCAGAAGTACTTCAGTGATACGGCAGGGCTACTACTTCTTTGAAGTGCCATAACCAGTCTGATACACCCTGCTTGTCCCACAAACACTGTTGTAAGCAAAGAACAAGGAGAATTATTTTCCTCAGACTGCCTTCTAAAACTGCTTTCACCTGTGGAACCAGTTTGTTATTGCCGCTTTTCTTCTCAATATTGAGATGCTGAGAACCTCAACAACCCTCCCAGAGCAGGACTCCAGCCTAGGCTCACCTTCCTTCCTTTAGTTTCTGGAAAGAGAACAGGGGTAATTGCAAACTCTTGTAATTGGAAACCAAGTGATCTATCCACCAAGGAGAAACAATAGTATGCTGTTAATAGTTTTTCTCTTTTGTTAGATTGAAAAGCAAGCTTGTTTTAGGCATCAAGCTGCCAATACCCAAACAGAGAAGAGTAGCAGTTACTTGCAAATACTCTCTGCCATTGAATTTTACTACTGCAAATAGTAGAAGTAGAGAGTTTCAGGAGCTGTTCGTAATTTTCATCACTGAAGAGGGTTAAAATTTGCAATAACTGCCATTATTCTAAACACAAGAACAAACAGGCAGGGTATTTCCAAGGCACTGAGATTAGAGTCCAGGAGACCCAGGTCTAACCAACTTAGAACAGACAGCGGCTGCATAAGGAGAGAAAACACGTATTTCTGAATTTTATTGCTTACAAGTCATCTCATGCAGGACTCTAGCAAGAACAAAGACAACGTTCTCCGCCACCCCTTGGTGACAAAGGGGTGTTACCTGCATCTCAGAACAAAGAAAACGTTCTCCGCCACCCCTTCCCTGGTGACAAAGGGGTGTTACCTGCATCTCCCTGCCCCACCATTTGTGAAGTTTTTGTAAATAAGATACCCTATCTTTGCTTGTTGCATTCAGTTAAGTAGTTCTGCACACAGCAACTTCTCCCGAGCCATTTAATACAGCAGTCTTATCAGCAAGAGCCAGCTTCGGCGTTGTAAGGAAAATAATCAGGTTATATTCACTTGGTTCAAATGTATCCACTTTAATTTGAAGAACATTGACTGGATAAATATGTGTGACTGTACAAGTGTTTCCTAAACACAAATGCATTCATGGATCTGTGCATTATATAATTTTTAAAGTATTTACTTTAACTGCTCAGAAGTGCTCAAGATAGTAGAGTTTTTTTTTAAAAAAAAAATTTCTCTGTCCAAAAAAGGAACAAAATCCGTGTTTGTGCAGGCAAAATTTGTCCAAGTAAAGTTCACTTAGGCGATATTTCTTCTGTAAATAATGAATTCACACCTTAATCACTCTATTTTTTGCAACTAATTGCTCAGATAAGTGCTCCCACCACAGAGACCACTGTACCAGGAGTTCATTTTGCATCTTCCTGCCTTCAACTACACAGCACGGGGACTAGGGCCGACTCAAGCAGTGGGAGTTTGAGCAAGATCAAACACTAAGGAGGAGATCTGTGCTGTCCTGCTTTTCTGGCATTTTTTCCCCGTCTTTTGAAGTGGAGCAGGAACTTTTTCTTAAATCAAATGAACCTGAACTGTACTTACAGTCCTTCCTGTACACAACTTCAAATAGAAATGCCAGCTTCCAGGCTCTGATAGAAGGACAAGATACTACAAACAAAAATCCCTTCATACAAAAAACATAGCAACAAATTTCAAGAGCAAGAGCAGATGTTATTCTTGTCCTCCGAGTCTAGATCACAAACTGATTAAACTGGTTTTGTTGTTTGCTTATAAAAAGTAGAGAGAAGGCATGCTTCTTCTCACTGAAGTGGCAGCTGCAGCATCTCTTTAAAAATAGCCCCAGGATTCCATTTGTCTAAACAGACCACAATTTCATTGACTTTAATTATGTAAGCATACCGAATCAAAACCTTTTTTTCCCCCCCCCATCAAAATAGAAAAACTCTTTTCTGCTGAACCAAGTCTATATCAAATACCAGGAAACAGTACCACACACTGGCAATGACATCGGGAAGTAAAGTAATTAACAAACACTGACTTATACCCTATTTTCATAGAGCCCTTACACTTCCAAAAAAATGAGGTTAGTATTCTTATCTACTACGGTCTGAATTTCAGCAAGCTTGAAAGAACAGCTCAGAATGGCAGAAAATACAACACTAGAACTTTTTCAGCACCTTTACAGTACTACGTATCTTCAATTATTTCCTGGGAATCTGTCAGCAAGTTTATAATTTTATTTAGGCATACTTTAACTCAATTTAATGATCCTATTATCCAAGATTTAACCAAGTCACATCACAGTTCGGAGTTTATACATGTCAGTATATATTGTCTTACTTAGGAGTAAGAGAAAAACTAAATCACTTAGTTTAACAAAAGACTGAAATGAAATCCAAGGAAGTCACCCATTAAACAACAGACTCCATATACAGCAACACAGTCAGTGACAGCTTATTTTTAAACCACAGGTGTTTTTCTTTCAGTAGTTCATCTGCAATTTCTACTTGATTCTCATATTACCATCCACAGAAAACTAATTACATAGCAACACACATCTGATACTACTTATGTTCTAAAGATTTCACAGCGTTACCTTTGCTTTGTCATTGGTAAAAAGTCATCACACTAATGTTTTCATTGCCTGAAAAATGCATATATTTAAAATTAAACATATCTAATTTTAAGGCAATATCAGCTGAATTTTCCATGATCCTGTTGTAGCAATCATCTTACCAGGTTTCATGATACCGTTAAATCTCTTTGGCATAAAATAAAACATCAGGTCCACAGGTGGGCATTGCTCATTTTCCTGCTATTTCCAAGGTGATCTGATCTGCCATATGGCTGAAAGCTCTTCTTACGGAGACTTTTCCAAATGGCAAGAACAAGATGGCATCAGAGCTGATGATCTCCCACCGTTCTAGGGTACCAGGCTCCCCAACCTCAGGGTACTCACCTTGTTCACCCACCCTTCTCCCAGGATGCCAACTCACAGTGATCCTGAACAACATAGCAAAGCCCCCTTCCCGCGGCCCTTCGCTGGAGAGAGAAGGGGCATTACTCCCCAAGTAAAGGCAAAAGGAGAAATACACTCTCCCTTAAATCGCCCATCATTTGGTCTCCATTTCACATACAGATAGCAACTGCTTCAGAGAAAAGAGGAGGGGAGCAGCCAGATGCAAACAGGGACGCTGCCATCGGGCTGGGTCGCAGAGAGGAGCACACCAGGCTACACACTGAACTCAGCACGGGGCACAGCAACTATCCAGCTGCAAAAAGCAGCAGTTGCAATCCTCCCAGCACGCTGGTCAACTCACCACTACGCAAACTTTTCCAATTAGAACTCCAAGTCCAATTACCCTCTGGAGAAGGTAACCAGGCCAGCACCGAGGTCCCTATGCTCATACAAACACACCCCGGCGGTGGCAGGTTGCAGGCAAACTCAGCGGTTCACCACAGGAGTTACTCACAGGAGCACTTAACGGGAAGCGTATCACTTAAAGCATATTCTATTTGCATTAACCCATTAGCTTAACTGAGAAACTGCTGTCAGCATTATGCGGTTCACTAACTAGCAGGGAGTACTCGGGTACATCATGACAATAACCCCAACGGTATCACAGTTCTTTGACCACACCACATTCTTAATGATACCTGTCAGTATTTTGATAATGAAATTAAAGAGTAACAGCATAAGCAATGGGAGAACAAAACATTCATTACGTCATAATCACAAACCATAAGGGATGAGTATCTGGGGGAACCAATATATATTAAGAAAGCAATGACTTCGTACAAAGTCATGTTTTTGGAAAAAAGAAAGAAAGGTTGATGTGTGCCACATTTCTTCATGTGGATACCTTAAAAAGGAATTTGTATTTAAGTTCACTAATCATTTGACATTGTTTCCCTATTTGCTGTGGATTTTCACAATATCTGAAAGCACTGTGTTTTTCCAGACTCCCATTATAAGAAAAATTCAATAGATTACTTACGCATTAGGTTGTAAATGTGCTTTTCTGCAACATGTTCCGTAAACAGCTTTATAAGGTCATCTTTTAAGTCTCTGTTAAGCTTGGTTTCTATGTAAAATTTATTCTGGAAAACAAGACAGAAGTTATCAAGTTTGTTTTTCACAATAGCAAATAAAGTAAACTTATTTTTTCCCTGAATGAAAATAGTTCAAAAATTTAAAGCTGTAGAATACTTAACCTGTAAAATGTTTCCTTGGTGACTGCATTTATACTAAATAAAACATCCCTGTACAACAAAACCCCATGTATTTAAAATTAAGAATGCATGTGGTACTATTGGTAACAAACCTACTTACATACAGGCATGCATTTACTTTTTTTTTTTTTTAACTGTATCTACAGATATATCTCCATACTGATCAAGACTGGGGAGTTTGTAGATAAAAAACCACTTCATTTTAAACTTTATAAACACTCTAACACCAAAACAGGGCTGGACATCGTGTTTATAACAAAACATTTTTACCAGTGTCTATAAGTGATTAAGCCATTAAAATAGGTGTGTTACAATAATATATCATCAGCACAGCTATCCACTTCTGCGGTTCATCGATAATCTCAGAGGACAGCTACTCAGAATTAATCAGCTGTGGAAATAAGTGATACATACAAATCTATACAAAACTGAAGTACGTTAACATTTTTAGGATTCAATTATCTTGACCCACTCAGCATTAACAATAAATTCGCTTCTTCAACCCTCAGAGGAAATTCTGTTCATGAGTTCCTTGAGGGCCTCTCCGCCTAATATACTATTTGGTGTTATTCCTCAGCTTCCAGCCTGCAATTAAGAGTAAGATTTCTTGTCTGTACTTTATTCATAGGTGGGTTTTAAATGCTGGAAAAAATAACCGTTTCAAGGTAAATCTCATAAGCGTGCAACACTAACATGGAAGTAGAATAACTGAATTAATCTTGACAACTTGTGTAAGAGTTAAACAGGTACTGTAATAGAAAATTGGCTTAATCAGAAATAATGCACTGGAACACTTATCTGAGAGATTTACTAGAGGAAGGGATCTCTTAAGGGAGAAAGGTTTTATCACACTTTAAATCAAGTTGTTCTCTTATTCGCTAAACCATTTAACAAAACTGGAACAAACCCTCAGAACACTATTAGAGCAATCCTTACTTTTTTTTTGTGAAACCCATTCTCTTGGCCATTACCAAAACTACACACACACTGTAATAAACTGTCCATGCAGAAACTACTTAAATTTTCAAGGCAAGCATTCAGCAGCAGTTATTTACCTTCAAGGAAAACTGAACCTGTTGGAACCAAGGCAATCTGAGGGCTGAACACATGCCCCTACCAAAGTTCAGGTTAGTTGCAGTGATGGACAACAATTGTAGAAAGATTATTTTTAAGAATTTAGTAATGTCCTACTGCCAGTTCCCTCCCTGAGGCTGTCCTGCCTGCAGAGGTTTTACCCAGGGCTATTACTCAGTTGTTTCCCTCTCATCTGGGTCCGTTCTTTGGATAGAGACAGAGAGAAAGGCTCTGCAGACAAAATAACCTATCTTGCAGGAAACAGACTAACTTCATTTGTAATATTTTTGGTCAATGGTGAATTGCTATTGCAACAGAAATTCACAGCAACTGGAAATACACAGCTTCTAGGAAGCCTTAAGCTACACACCACACTACAGTCTTTCATCAGACCTAACTTCCAAAACCATTTCCACCTCGAGCTTCGTGACCACAGAGTACCACCATGTACCCACCGGTGCAACACACAGGAGTGACCAGAGCATCTCAGCGCAAGTCTACTGACCTGAACCAAACCGGACAACGTCAAACTACTGATTCTTAGGAGCTGACAGATGAGATGCACCCAGCTAAGGAAATAACTCACTCTGTTCCTTTCCCAGCCTCAAGACATTCTTACATTGAAAGCAGCTGGCAACAACATGTGCAAACCGTGATGCTCCCTTCTGCTCAAGAGTTGGAAAGACTATACCTTAAGTTTCACAAACAGAAAAGCAACAAAACACCCCAGCCGTTCCAAGCAGAAGAGTCTCTTACGTGTAGAACAACTGTAAAATACTCTTCACATTTGCTCGCTTGGAAACACCTTTCCAAAAAGATGTTACATTTGCATGAATTTAAATAGACAATGAAAAATCATCTAACCTAAGTATTTCATTTCCAGTCCACAGTGCTGAAAGGAGATAGCAGAAGAGCTGTCACCTTCCCCATTCTTGTTAGCGGAAAACCAGGAAGATTTTCTGTATCAGATGTCACTACCTGGGCTGTACCAGTATTTCTTGAAAAGTGTGTCAAGTCACCTAAAGGTCTAACTGACAGGTAAAAGGTAAGCAGATATCAATACCTGAGAAAGTCAGATATGATAGAAGCATTTCTTCCACAAACCAGCATATCATAAAGCAAACTGGCAAACGTTAAAAGACATAATCGTGTCAATACTATTGAAAGCAATAAATACTTGAAAGAGAAAAAAACTGTATATGAGTGCTTATCATCTCATCTCCATATATATACACTCACATATATTTGTGCAGACACACACAAAGTGCCCTCTAGCTGATAAGCAAAGTGCAATACCACCCAGTAAGAATAGTAATATTTTAGAAACAATGAAAAAATTCTTAACTATCCTAAAACCACAGCGCTCACAAATCTTAGGTTCATTTCATGCCACAAGATAACAGATTTTCAGCTACATCCCTAAGTATAATTAACAATTGAGAACCTATTATAAAAAAGTATATTATCTAAACGCTGATTTTAATTTTTATTGAAGTGGAAATATGATTTTTATTCATTCACGTGCGCAGCATACTGCAATATGCACAATCTGTAAGCATCCAGAATAACCTCATTCAGATTTACAAAGCAAACAGTTATTCCCCAGGAATCACTCTTAGGAATAGAGCACTGTGTGCTAAGCTGACTTACAGTTTAATTTGCTTTATCTGTGGTTACATCCCATAACTTTTAAAGGAGCTTAAGCCCACAGAATTCTGGACAAAAGTGCTTGAGCCTCCATGCTTTCTTGAAAAGTCCACTGCAGCAGCATAAAACTGAAAAAATCCATCACCACATGAAAAAGAAAACCACTAATGCTCCTAGCAAAAGGAGGAAAGAGAACTCCCTCAATTGCAAAGTCAGTCCTCTCAACCATCAAGCTTTCAGGTGTATTTCAAGCTTTGAAATATACCTTGGTCACTATATACAAGCAGGTTAAGAAAACATCTTTCCTGTATTCCCACCATTCACATACAAGAACATGGTTTGGTAAATATCGGGAAAAAGTGCTGCTGTTGATATCAAAACACAGAGGACTAAGCTTAAGGCGGTACCTTTTTTGGCCACCAAGGGACAAAACATGTTCCAGTTGTACCAAAAAACTTTAGGTTTTCCTCGAGAGTGAACACTGTCTGCACAATATGCTGTTAATTTCAGTTGTTAAAGAGGCCCAGCTAAGAAGCGAAGTTACTGACCAAAATTGGTTCTGTTTTACCTCAAACCAGGACAGCTCCCTAGATTTTTAAATATTTAAATGCCTATTAAAAGTTTTCCTAAGCTGCAATATAATTATCCTTTCAGAACAAAGTTCATCAGTGCAACTCTGCAGCCTCAGAAACTCCTGATTAAAGCGATCACATCACCACCAAAAAGACTTGCCATTTCTGATAAAAAGGCAGAGTTCAACAACTTAGTCCTCTTCACTTAGAAATACATTGACAATATCCATTAAAGCAACTGCAAAAATGTAATTTATGTTGTAGAATAATTAGGCTTTCACCTCTTGCAATTGTTTTTTAATTGTATTTTCTTGTATAAATAAAGGAAACTGCTGCTGCTGTATGAGAGAAAACTTGATTAGGCGCTACAATGTAAAATTGCAGGAGTGGCTGTACACAAAAGTACTTCCAAATGCATACAAAAAAAACTAGGAGAGGAAAACATTTTTCATCCTGACTTGTCCAGAGATATTTTCCACATCATGCACAACACTGATTAATAAATTATTTCAGAGAAAAAGTATGAGACTTGATTTGACATTAGCCTTCAAAACCAGCTATTATAGCTCAGCCAAATCAGCATTGCATTTGGCAGCAAGAGGAACTAACACATAAGTCACTAACTCTCAAGGCTAACTTGAATTAAGTCACTTAAATGAGAAAGTGTTTGCAGGAACAGAGTTTTACTGCCAGAACAAATCACAAGAAACTTCTTTAAAACAATAGAGTACTTTCACTTTTCTTCTCAAATTAAAAAAAAAATAAAAATCACTAACTTCGTTTTACAGGTGTGTTTATGACTCATTAACCATTTTTACTAGCTCAGATATTGTTAGATTCAAACTCTAAAAAAGAAACGACAGGATACAGAGCACACCTCATTTGAAGATACAAACACCATACCACAACTGTGCACAAAGGAAGATACGGAAATCTATTCAGCAATTATACCTCGTCTGGTCATAAAGACAAAGCGTATAAACAGACAGGTTTTATCATTACATGTCTATCGTGAACATTTTTTCAACGTTAGTTACTGCAATCTTAGTTGTTAAGTATAGCTTTTGACCTCTGCGATGGAAAAATATCTGTGATAGATCTGAGCATTCAATAAAAGTACAGCCCAGACCAGCTTATCTCCATTTGCAAATGGGTATTAAATTAGGAGATTGCTTAAACACCTGCCTGCAATAAACCAGTCAAGCACATTCAGGTGAAAAAATGGCTAGCATCAAAAATAGCTGAATGCAATATAGGAGGGAAAGTCTCTTCCTAGTTTTTAATGCAACAAATTATTCAGTGACACTACGCTGAAAGACTAGCACATCACCTGGTTTCAGCTGCATTCACTGAAACATAAGAGATCCTTTTAACAGATACTGCTTCCCAAACTCAAGCACTCTAACAATGAGAATAATTTTGAGTTTGAGATTTATTTAATCTAAGTCAGTTTAAATATTTTTTGCTTTAAAAAGAAGTTTCTTTCCCAACAAATATTTCCTTTTATTTTTTATTTCTAAAGTGATGCCAACACAAGGACGGTTTCTGAAAGAAGGGCAAATTTCAAGCTTAAGTTATCATTACCCTAAGAAAAAGCAATAAAAGTCTTGGCACTTTGACAAAAACAATGCTAATTATAAACTTCTTCAGAGGTATAGAAGACTTCAGAAATTACAAACCTGGGATGACAGACGCTTACAGCCAATGGTTTCTGAACCTCTGCAAGTATGCCTGACAGTGCTATCAACATAAGTTTGTCTTCATCCGTTCAACACTCTAAATTACTTTATCAAGTGACACAGACATTTCCAAGAGATTTCTTTCTGTCTCGTCTGAAACCGTGCAATTTAAAGGCAAGAAACAATCATCACTGTAACCTGCCCAAACAACCAAGCCAGCATATAACAAGCCAATAAACTATCTCTGTTCCAAAAGATATAGATAATAACCTTACTATTTGTGAAGACTTTTTTCCAATCAAAATAAAAACTACTTCCCCAACTCCCAGGAAAGAAATATTAGGGCAGAAACCAACTGCCGAACTCTACATTTAAAAGCACGGCTCCCCCTTCCTCTCCCCACACAACTTAATCAGTACTGTTACGCAGGTAGCAAAACCAGGCATGAATCATAAGTTCTACAAATTAAAAATCATTATAGCTGCATTTTATTCTTTGCACTTTCAGTCAACATCTTGAGTAGGGACATACTTTATTTGAAAATAATTTTCTAAAACTTACCATATATATGAAAAGAGGCACAATGCTCTGCAATGCTCCCATATACTGTCCAAGAGCTATGTTAAATCTTTCAATATAGAGATCTGGAGGGCTGGCCTGCAAGAAACCGTAAAAGTCAGGTTGTAATTTGAACAAGAGAAAGATCTGGAACAGCATGGGCTATGCTTTCACAGCAAACTCAAAAAAAAAAAAGCTACGAAGTATTTGATACACTAAGTCCACACAAAGCAAGCCGCACATCATTCCAGAGTTTCTGCTATAACTCCCTCCAGCAAAAACAGTTTTCTTCAGCAACCGGTTTTTGGCTAGGACTATGTGTCAGTGCCCAGCAAAAGGTGCATTCAGTTAGAAATACAGTATGCCTGTAACAAACCAGTGTTTAGCATATGCAAATAAAAAACACTTATTAAAGACCACACCTTCTTTTTGAAAGAACTGTCAATGCCTACAACCCATAACCAAATTTCAAGAAGTGCTGCGGTGTGTGCTCCGACCCCCCTGCAAGCTTTTACCCCAAGACAGCAGGGTGGCATTAAGCTGCTGCTTTGCATCTGAGCTGGCAGTGGCACATCCTCCAGCTCCAGGGAGCACTGTCCTTCACAGAAAACACGTTTCTGTTTTTGCTGGGTCACCTAAGGCAAGGCAAATATTCAGGGTATTGAGCTGGAGGGACTACGAAGCAGTATCTTCAGATAGAGCATCCTGCGCTCCATCTCAGCCCCACGGAAACCTGCTGCAACACTCCACCACGCAGCATCGCCCTGCAGCCCTGCGCAAAACTTCGCTACCCAAAACCTCAGTGTGCCAACTTTATGATAGGCCTTGTAGAGCCCACACCGACAGCACTGCCATTTTCTGTGTACAACACCATCTTTCCCCAAAAGAGAAATAAGGAAGCTAAAAGAGAAAAAAAAAAAAAAAATCTGTTCTGCAGTAAGCTAAGTTAAATTGAGAAGGGAACCAGAAAAACGGGAAGCACTAACCACTGTTTCTTTTATAAATATTTACTCGGAGGGATGCAGGGGAGCTGCGTTAGGGCATTCTGGAGTGCACCCAGGGATGGAAGTGGAGCCGGGGTAACGTGTTCCTCCACTATCCCCCTCTCCATCCCAACCCACCCACACAGTGCTCTGCCTCTGGCCCCGCTTTCCCCACTACAGTCTTTTCAGAGGAGGGGGCGGGCAGCTGCCCCAGTTTTTACTGTTCATATACCTATACGCACCTATACATGACAAGGACAAAGAGTTGCTTGCTAGTGAGAAGCAAAACTTCTCTTCCCTTGCACCATTTTCCTCTCCAACAGTGCGAAGCCAGAAGAGGATGGAGCACACAGCAGTGACTGGGACCTTGCAAGAAAACAAGCTCAAAGATTTTTCTCAAGCCAAAGTATCTGTGGCGTGAGAAAGGCTCAAGGCTAGCTGCGCCTCCACCACCTTATCAGAACTTACAGCTCTTATCTTTACAAAGCAGATTTTTCAGCCTTTATATGGACATTCACCAGGGGCCCTAAGACAACAGTTTAAATTTATGTTGACTTTTTGCTCTGTTAAGTATTCTAAATTTGTAAAAGTTTTTGTCCTTTAAACTAGCTTCTTTTGCCTCCCTCTTTAATGTGCTTAATGAACACGCGGGTAATTTTCACAGCAAACACCGATACAGAGCAGACGTTTCAGAAAGGAAAGCAAAACTGGCAAAGGAATAAAGAATGCTATTCCATATGCTGTTGCCAAAGGTTATATATGGTTATTCCTCATTTTGATCATAAGTTTTTAATCTTATTGCAGATGCAGTTCTCAGGGGTGGCCAAACAAATTTTAGTTCAAATTGCCAACAATGTATAGAAGTGCCTATGAACTCCAAGGACTCCCTTTCATATATAGTTACATGTATAATTGGTTGCAAATAACATGCAATGAAATCCGCATTTCTAAGCGGAATGTATTCCTGTTTCACTCCTTTTTAACCTCAACTTTAAACATGGTTATACTCTCTGATTTGTAAAGATTTGGTATACAGCTTCTAAGATTAAAGAAGAAGGAAAATTCTACTTCAAAGAAGATGACAGACAAAAGGAGACCGCAGCCTGACACAGGGCACCACTCTCCTCTCGCTGACAGTTTGCACTTTTCATTCAAAACAAAACAAAAAACCTCACAACCAAACAGAAAACACAAAGACAGAAGTTGTTTGGACAGTACATGATTTAATCCCACGAACACTCCAGGCTACGGTATACAGCCAGTCTGCCACCTTTTTTAAAGGGGACATTAAGGATTGGGATCTTTTTCCTCCACTGAAGACGAAAACTCTGCTAAGCTCACCTCACAAAGCCTATGTTACATTAAGAGAAATGTTTTAAGAGGGAACAACAACTGTACACCAAGCTGTCTCCTGAGAAAAACCTCAGGAGTCCTTTAATGGAAGGACCCTCGTTGACCACCACCACCTTGCAACCAAGTGGAAAATGACAGCTCTAGATGAAGAAAAAGAGCTAAGAAAAGTCCTGACAGCTTCAGGAGAAACACTTTCTAGTGTCAGGCAAATATCAGGCCTTGGTCTTAACCTCTGGAATGCAAAATCAGTGTTGACTGCTTTATCAGCATGAGATGTTACCTTTGAGTTTTATTCTCCTGGTAGTGTTTCATGTCAAGCCTCAACAGTCAAGAAACTAACAGGAAAGCACATACTACCTGACTCTGCTTGTTTCCCCCCCTCAAAAAAAAAACCAAAACAAAAGCAAACAAAAAACCAAACCACAACACTCTCCTCAATTATTGCTTGACTTGTAAACTAACAAAAAACCCAAGCCAAAGAGAAATCAATAATAGTATTTTCACAGCTCATCTATGAATTACCATTATCTGTGTGGGAAAAACAGAACCATCTGTTTTCTGTTCATTAGGGTGTTACCGTACGGCTGCTCAAACCTGCTAGACTGAAATCAGTTACTTGTTTGAGCATAGGAACTTTCTCCACACCTCTACATTTACACTAGTAAGACAGTAACTGGAGTGGTACTAGCTTTATATAAACTACATGAATTTCCTAAACTAAAAAGCAGGGCACCAAATTCATGAGTAAATAGATGTTGCTAAGACTTTTCTATTAAATGGCCATCATTAGAGAAGAGCTTACATTTAAAAATCTGTATTTATTGAGCTAAAAAAATAAAAGAGCTTAGGCTGACATTTTTTCAGTCTTGGCCTAAGTCCAGAAAAGATAACACATACATTCAGCTGTTTTAATTACAGGGGAAGGGCGGAATTAAGCATGACATTTACTTCTTACAACCCCCCAGAAAATATTAAGTCTTTAAAACCCACTCCTATCTTACCTGAGGGATGTATTACAGAAGCTATTCAAATAAAGAAAAATATACTGCTAGCCTAAGGTTTTCCAGGAGGGGAGAGGATCCTTCCTTCCTTCCCTCCCCATTCTGCATTCTCAAATTATGAGGCAGTTGCATTTGCTTAACATCTTCAGTTTGGTTGCGAGCTTCGCATCAAATACTACAGCTGCTGCTAAAAAGCTGATGTTAAGGACATCGTTTAATCTCCTTACACACCACAGTGGACATCTCAGCACCAAGAGAAATTAGAAGAAGAAAATACATTTGAGAAAGGATGACATATAAGACAGGCATCTTCAAACAAAACAAGCAATTAGAGGCCCAGTACAGCCAAATTACCCTTCCCTTATTTGAAAACCAGTATCTAGGCATTTCAATGAACTTGTGGGCAAGAAGCTGCATACATGAAAAAGATGTGGGTTTTTTTTCAGTTTGAAAACCAGTTTGAATATCATTCTTTGACTGAACGTACAAATGACACCAAAAGACATGCTGCTGGCTCGAGACAACTCGGAAATGGCTCACAAAAAAGAAACAGTGACAACAGTTCTTTGCTTGAGGAACGCAAAGTTAATCTGTTTATGAATAGTCGTCTGGCACAATCAGCAATATATTCAGTAAAGCTTACATTCCTATGTTGAATGGGCAGTTCCATTTTCCTGGGAACATGCTCACTGCCAAAATGCCAGCATACATGCTGCAGCATCTCTCCCACGCCCGCCAAGTGAAAAGGGAGAATGGCTATGACTACACAAATTAACCTGCTATTCATGTAAGTGGTCTGAATCTTTTAAACCAGTTTTTGTTCTTTCTTAAGAAAACATGATATGTTTACTTTGCCTTGCAAACAATTTACGCTATGCCCAGGCCTACCTCACTAGACAAGGGTACTATTAAAATGTTTTACAAAAGTATAGACATCAAGCCAAAGTACAATTCATGGAAAGACTGACTGAGTCTTCCCATTCAAGTCTGCACTCAAAACTGTTCAAAACTGTACAGCATGATGACATACTCTCGCATAATTGTCTTAGAGCAGGGTAGCAGATGCAGGCCATCTTTCCATTTCCATTCTACACATCTGTGAAACAAAAAGACATTGTATCTAAGGTCCATCAAAACTCTATTTAATAGCAAGAAATCTTCAGAACCTTTTCCATCTAGTAGATACATATTTCATTTGTGCTGTATTTACTTCTCTCTTTCTGTAATTACATCAGGCTCTGCAGCAGCCAGCACAGTGTGGCAAGGAACTGAAAGTGACTGCAGGAATACAAGCCTTTTCGAAAAGCAGCAGGCAGGCAGGTTAGCTTGCTCATGACAACGTCTTTTTTTATGGCAATACTGTCGATATGGTGCCCCCTACCTCTACCTCAAGTCAAAAGCCATCTTTTTGATGTCCACACATGAAGATGCACACATTTCTGACACTTCTGGTTTCTGCCATCCGAGTTCTACTACTGGATGATTCATTTGATCTGATTCAATTCAGTGTGATTCACAGCATTAAAGGCTTGTTTCACACACAATTAAGCAATGTTCTCCCAGCAAAACTGATGGATGAATGCCTATGGCTCTGGATGTTTGGGTTGTTTGGGTTTTTTTTTTTCTCCTTTTAAATGTTATGGAGCAGATATATGGCCAGTCTGAGTCTCCTCTTTAAAAGATGGACTGTCAATATTAACAGATCATGGAGTTGACCCAAACGGACTTCGAGAAACTCTAGTGATTTAACATATTTAGTAAG